ATACCCACTATCATATCAGTGAGCTTAACTACTTTCACATTACAGCTATCTTTGTTTGTTTGTTTGTTTGTCTGAGGTTAGCTCAGCCTGGGTTATGCTGGTGAAGATTCTCAGTCATCCAGGGCATGATAAATTCACAAAACATTCAATACAAAAACAACTGGGGTTACTCACCCTTTGTTACATTTCCTCGTGGGCAGAGCAATCTTACCGTTCATGTCAAATATTTGATAATGTTCTTATAGAAACATTACCTGAATGTTGTTCATACTGTGTTAATGCTACATGTTTATCTCTTGACCCTACAACTGGGTAAGGTTACAGTTGACCTAGCCGATTACTGGAGTTTTAATTAGGTATTTTAAGCTACTAATAAATATGATGGATGATGATCATATTTCTTTATGCTTGGCCATTGGTAAGAAGGAGTGATTATTGTTATTGTTTCATATTGCCTCAACAGAGGATGCCATCTCCTCTGTGGTCCACACTGCGCTCAACCACCTGGAGCAGAAAAACTCTTACGTCCGTGTGCTCTTTGTGGACTTCACATCCGCCTTCAACACCATGATCCCCCAAACCCTGATGGACAAACTATCCACACTAGGACTAAGCCCCTCCATTTGCAACTGGGTACTAGACTTCTTAAACAGACCACAGTTAGTGAGGATCCACAACTTCTCCTCCTCCACCATAACCCTCAGCACTGGCTCTCCTCAGGGCTGTGTGTTGAGCCCCCTCCTGTTCCCTCTGCTCACGTATGATTGTGCAGCTACCCATCCAGGCTGTCACATTGTAAAGTTTGCAGATGATACAGTGGTGGTGGGATGCATCACAAACAATGATGAGTCCAGCTACAGGCAAGAGGTGGAACACCTGGAGAGCTGGTGCAAAGAGAATAACCTTCACATCAATGTGAAGAAGACAGGGGAGATGATTGTGGACTTCAGAAGGAACAAAAACATCTACACCCCCCTGAACATAAGAGGATCTGCGGTGGAAGTGGTCTCCAGCTACAAGTACTTGGGTGTACACATGAATGACAACCTCAGCTGGAGCAACAACACCACCAGCCTGACCAAGAAAGCTCATCAGAGACTCTACTTCCTCAGACGGCTGAGACGAGCTGGTCTGGGAAGCTCAGTCCTCACCTCCTTCTACAGGTGTGCAGTGGAGAGCATTCTGTGCTCCAGCATCGTGTGGCATGGAGGCTGCACAGCTGCAGAAAGAAAAGCTTTGCAGAGAGTGGTGAAGGCTGCACAGAAGATGTTGGAGTCAGTCTCCCCACCATCACAGACATCTACACCTCCAGATGCAGGAAGAGGGCCACCTGCATCATGAAGGACCACACTCATCCAGCACACACACTTTTTGCCCCACTCCCCTCAGGAAGGAGGTTAAGGAGCATTAAGTGTAGAACCACTAGACTGAGGAACAGCTTCTACCCTGAGGCTGTTAGACTCATGAATCTCTAACTAGAATAATCACTGTGAAAAACCACATCATGTTGCTGCTGATCTGTTTCATGTTGATGTGTTCATGTGTGCACATCTGCTCACAGACTCATGTTCATGTTTGTGCTGATGTTCAATGTTTTATGTTATGAGTGCTTAGTGTATATTTAGTTGATGTTTTTCTTAGTTCATATCTTAGATGTTATTACTGTTTTTCTTATACATTTTATTGTTGGATGTAACTGGGACCCTGTGTACATAATTTCGCTCCACCACATGTACCACATGAGGTGCGAATGACAATAAAGAAACTCTGACTCTTACTCTGATATTGACTAGTGATTTTTTTCCCCCTAAAACATAAATTAGGCTACACTACGGTATGTTTCTTAGACTGTGACTAGGATGTGTGAGAGAAGCGGAGCGTGCTCTATTCACACAAGGAGAGCTGATGGTCAGGCAGGTCTTGTTGTGTCATTAAGATGGCGCCCGTGTACATGGCTTGCAATCCACCTCTGCTGATGGTGTTCGGATTATTTTTGTTTTGTTCATTTTTTATCTGTGGCATAAATTCACTCCTCATGTATGACCAACAACAGCTTCTGGATCTTCGTTTTTCTGTCACTGATGTCGCTTATTTGGACCATTATGAGCGTACCTCTGGACCCCTCCCCCCTCCTCCCCCCCCCCGCTGGCGGACGTGCCAGTTTACCTCCGCTGCACTCCTCACCTGCCTGCCCGGAGACATCGCTTCAGACGCCGGGGAAAACTTGCTGGTCAGCTGGTGATGCTTAAACCTCTGCGCGCTGCATCTTCCTCTTCAGCTGGTGGTCATGGTTTCCATCGCCAGCTTCCCGCATGCCTGGACCAGGTAACCAGCTTTAGTTGTCAGCCGGTGCGCAGCTCGGACCGACCTGGAGGGGCTGTTATTGAAAACCTGCGGCCATTAGCGTGCGCTAACTCCACCGCTGCTAGCTCCACTTTGGACAGTATCCGGATGTGATTGGTCAACGCAAGATCTGTTACCAACAAAACTTTTATCCTCAGGGACTACTTTCAAGAGCACGATCTGGACTTTCTGTGCATCACAGAGACTTGGATGTCTCCGGGTGAGTCCAGCGCCTTGACGGAATTACTGCCACCGAACTGTCTGTATTTTAATGCACAGCGGCCATCAGGCCGGCGCGGTGGTGGATTATTAACAATTTTCAAATCAACTTTTGACTGTAAACAACTGCCCATCCCAGTTTCCCGCACCAGCTTTGAGCTGAGCGTCTTTGAACTCGGCCACTCGCCTCAGACTTTATTTGCACTTGTCTACCGCCCACCTCGATCTAAGGATTTCATAAATGAGTTTTCTGACTTCTTGGCTGAAATCACACCAAAATATGAGCATGTTTTCATAATTGGGGACTTTAATTTGCACGTGTGCTGTCCTGAGAAGCCCTTGGTTAAGGACTTTTTAGATCTATTGGACTCATTTAATCTAACTCAGCATGTAAACGGTCCCACCCAAGAGCGAGGACATACACTGGACCTTGTTTTAACTCATGATGTGACTGTTAATAATCTTGTTATTGGTGATAATGTTTTTTCAGACCACATGCCAGTCCAGTTAGAGTTCACCCTCCCCCATCTAACTCCGAAGTCGTGCATTCTTGCACGTCGCAGCCGGACCATTAACCACTTCACTGCCGCACGTTTCACAGATGTTTATAACTCTGAAATGATAATTCAGCCCCCCGGTGTTTCTCACCACCACTGAGGAGCTGACATCCCAGTTCAACTCTGTCTGCTTAAAGACTCTGGATCATGTTGCGCCTGTTAAAACCAAAAAATCAAAACTGAGAGCAGAACCTTGGCTGAGTGACGTCACCAAGGCCGCTAGGCAGCAATGTAGGAGGGTGGAGAGAAAGTGGAGGAAAGACAGGCTGCAGGTCTCTTTCCAGATACTTAAAGAGAGTTGGCGCCGTTATCAGAAAGCAGTAAAAGCTGCTAAATCCAAATACTTCTCTGATATAATTACCTCAAACTCTCACAACCCACGTGTCCTCTTCTCCACCCTAAACTCTGTTCTCCACCTCACTGAACCATCACCTTTGGAAGCCTCGACTGAGCTGTGCGACAACTTCCTACATTTCTTTTTGGAAAAGAAAAGAAGGGGGGGGGGGTCGACCACCCCGCACCACCGCCAGCTGTGGTGCGCATTAAGTTTAGTTTTACAGATTAATATGTTTATAGATTTTTTTTTAATAGGTTTAGAGATGAATATTTTTTGCTTTTTGTTTGTGAAACAAGAGGAAGCTGGTTCTGGTTCGGTGGATTGCACCCGGTGTTACACCACACTCTGTGACCTGCAACAGTGCAACACCGCCCCCTACGGTCATACGGTGATCACATAATATGACGTCACTGCGGTTACTCGACCTTACATTTTTAACCTCGATAGATGTCCTAGCAATCGATGTGTAGATTACTCGAGTAATCTGTTAATGCCCTACTGTCCAGCCTCTCCTGAAAAAAACAAACCATGACCCCTCAGTCATGTCCAACTTCCGGCCTGTCTCCAAACTCCCATTTGTTTCAAAAGTACTGGAGAAAATAGTCGAGTCCCAGTTGAAGTGCTTCCTGGAGGGTCACACCATCTTAGAGCTTTTCCAATCTGGCTTTAAATCTCTCCACAGCACTGAAACTGCCCTGCTGAAGGTCTTTAACGACATCTTCAGATCCACAGATACTGGTGATTCTGTGCTGCTTGTCCTGTTGGACCTCACAGCCGCCTTTGACACCATCGACCATGAGATCCTCATTGCTAGGTTGGAGCAGTGGGTCGGCGTCACAGGATCAGCCCTCAATTGGTTCAGATCTTACCTCACTGACAGATCAAAAAAAGATCTCTCACGCCGTGTCCTAGACAGGGCATGATTTGAGGCATCAAAAAAAAACTACCACAGCAAAGCAACATAAACAGACATTATACATGAACATATAGGCGGTGAAGACATTGAATTTTTAAGGGAAAGTTGTAGCATAGTCCAGAGCCCCCCCTCTCAGCCATTGTCCAGATAAGAGGTGATGTTCATCTTCAGCTCAGTTGAGGTTCTGTCACATGTCCACGGCCTTAGGGAAGGGAGGGGTGAGGAAACAGTCAAAGCATCTTTGTTGGTTTCAAAACATTCCAGGAGGAGTTGAGATAAGTCCGACGTCAAGGCCACAGTTTGGGTCAGGCATATAACATACTACTCATCTCATGAACAACAAGATGATTGTCTTTTTCATTTTAAATGGGCCAGATCACTTCTATTAACAGTAAACTACTGCAAACTGCTGCTGTCATTTGATTCTTTTAATAAACCATGCAACTTGCTATGATCCCAGGTTTTGAACAGACCTGTGTGACCACAGCGTGCATATCTGATGTTGCTCACAGTGGTCCTCAGTGCACTCAGGGAGCTTGTGTGTTTGTCCAGACACATGAAAAATTAGAGGGAACATTGGACTGTGAACCAGTAGGTAAACAGGTGTGTGGACAGGTGTACAGCTTACCTGGTTGTTGTGAGGCATCCCATAGAGGGCCTCCACCAGGTCAGCTGCTCTCTTCAGTAGCACCTCCTAAAATAATAAAGGAGGAAGAGGAGAGAGAGAGAAGGGAGATTAGGTTAAAACCAGTGAGTCCAGCCTCAGGGTTTTAGTCCTGGTCCAGTAGGACATGTTTAAAGGCTCCAGTATACTCAAGTGTCCTGTCAACCACGCAGAAACTGTGTGCACTGTCCGCAGAGGGTTGAGACTTCATACTTGAGTGTCCACCCTGAGCGGCTGCAGAGCAGCTCCGCAGGCAGGGGTCGTTTACATTCGGGACAAATTGAGGTAGCTGATTTGTTCACACACCTACTGGATAGATTGACAGGTAGCACACACACACACACACAAAGAGAGAGCTGGCAGCCCCAGCTGCAGCAGTGTTCTCTCTTTATATGTTGTTAATAAATAGATCTAAAAAATAAAAAAACAGGGAGCGCTGGTCCTGCAGGCCACACATCACAGCAGCCCACCAGGAAACCTCCAGACCCTCCTGCAGCCATGCTGGACCTGATTTTAATTCGCTCGTGACAAATTCCTTCATTTCTCACCATTTCAGTCATGGTGTCAACGGAGGAGGAAGAGATCACTTGACTCTTGGGAAAAAAACAAAAGAAAAGAACCAAGAGCCAAGCCCTTCTTCCTTCCCCAGCAGAACTCTCCAGCTCTTTCTGGGGGAACCCAACGTGTTCCCAGGCTAGAGAAGATTTTCTTTCCAGCAAGTTCTGGTTCTGGATGAGTCCAGACAACATCCAGAGGCAGGTCTGTCAAGGGTCAGATCCCTGAACTCTCACCAGCCAACTCCTTTCAGAGAGGAGGAGCGATCTCCCCTCAAATGACGGAGGTCCTCACCTCCTCTCTAAGGCTGAGCCACAACGCCCCGAGGAAGAAACTTACTTTTACATTTGTACAGAAATCCCCCTTCAGGTTGGACACTTGGTCCAGGCTGGGACTTGAGGGCCAGGAGCAGAGTTTTTATTCAACACACCTGAGAGCTTCGGCTGGCTTCATCTGATGAAGGCCAGAGTCTTCCTCAGTCCACACAGCAGGTCACATGACTCGTGCTGTTTCAGTCAGATCACACACACACACACACACAAGAACTCATAGTAAGCCTGTTTAAAACTGATCCACTTCACTTCAATGAGCACTTTCAGCTAAAGCTCTAAAAACAAACACACACAGTCAACGTGTGTGTGTGTGTGTGTGTGTGTGTGTGTGCGTGCTTGTGTGTGTGTGTGTCTAATCAGGCGCTGGCTGAACAATGCTTCATTTAGTCTTTATCTTAATTAAACATTCAGTTAATCTGCTGCTTTTCATTACAAACTTCTACAAGAGGATTTGCCAGTTAGCCCCGCCCCTTCATCATCATCATAGCCCTGCCCCTTCATCCCTCCATCATCCATCTATTCTCTTTTTTAGTTTCATCCTTTGTCTCATTAGCTGAAACAATAATTTTCCTGCCCTCTTTCTTTTTTTAGTCTCTTCCTGTTGTTTTTCTTTTTTTATTTCCATGTTTGTCCATTTTTATTCTGTTTGCTCATCACCCTGTATTTTGTTTTTTGGGTTTCCATCTCTCCTTTAATTAATAATTTCTTATTTATTTTATAATTTCTTTCATTTCCTTGTTGTTTTCTTGTGTTTCTTTTCTCAGCAGCTCAGATGTTTCTGATATCACAGACAAATAAACTTATAGTGATTCACAGACTGCGTGTCTCTGTGTGTGTGTGTGTGTGTGTGTCCTTGTTTATGCTACTTTGTGAGGCCCATTTTTCCAACTTATACTACATTGTGAGGACCAACTGCTCCTTATGGAGCCCAAAGCCCGGGCCCCATAAGAAGAAGTCCCGTTGGTGGGTTAGGGGCTAGGTTTAGGACTAAGGTGTGAATTGAGGATGTGTTAGGTTTAGGGTTAGGTATGTACTGGTAATGGTTAGGTTATGGATAAAGGTCATGGTTAGGCTATAGAAATGAATGAAAAATGAATGGAAGTCAATGCAAATGCCCCACAAAGATAGCAAAACAAACCTGTGTGTGTGTGTGTGTGTGTGTGTGTTTAAGAGTGACAGAAGTGGATTTTTGTAGAGTGACTCTGACAGTCTTCAATCTGCTCGTTTATGCAGACGTTTGAGTCGCAGTGAGGGATGAGGGTTATATGCATGTGTGCATGTGCATGCACTCACCCACCCACACACACACATACACACACTCACACAAACACACACACAGTGCTGATGGTGACAAATGAAAGCCTCATTATTACAAGTGTTTTATTATTACTCAACCAGAAGACAAGCTGCTCTCAGACATGAGGTTTAACGAGGTTACCACGGCGATGAAGGCTGACTGTCATCAGTGAGGAGGGAACCAATTACTCACTGATGCCCCCACCCGCACACACACACACACACACACACACACACACACACGGACTGACCCAGCACTGTCTGTGTTGAAGCTCAGCAGCAGGAATCAAACGCTGATCAGAACGAACATGAGGCACTACACCACTCCACCTTCAACCCCGTTATCTCATCACAGGTTAGACACTTACTGAACATGCCTTCTGTAATTAGCGTTCCATTCAGGCCTAAAAAGTCCGGCCCGGCCAGCCCGAACCCATATAATGTTTTCAGAGCCCAACCCGTAACCGGGGGATTAATTGTAAGTACAGGCCTGAACCCGAACAAAAAAACAAAATTTTTTAAATTAAGCTTTTACTGCTTTTGTAAGCAAATCAGTTAGACATGATATTTTAAAAATGTATTTCAAAGAAAGGAAGATATCAGATTTCTTGTTTCACCAAATGGATATTAACAAAACAAATAGTGTAAAAAATCAACTCTAAAGATCGGCTGTTACTCAGATGAACAAAATATGTTTAGTGCTAAATTATTTGGAAAAATATAGAACAAGTCTATTTTAATTGAACACACTTCGGCTGTTGTAGCTGCTGCTACTTCCTTCAGCACAGATGACAGCAGGTGAGGAGACGTGCGCGGCTGGTGATCAGCTGATCCATCTGAGCTTAACTGGACTTTTTTTTAACCACTTTCAACCATCCGGTTGGACCTGCCTCCTCTTCTACAAGTAGATTAACACAATTTTATATCTGCATTCTTATTTAGTTTTCTTTGTGCTGTATGATTCGTAAAACCACATCAAGGCCCGAGACCCGGCCCAGTCTGCACATTAAGCACATTATTATGTCCTGGGTCCAGCCTGAATTCGTGTCAGGTCGGGCCGGGCTTTGGGCCCAGGTTAGAAATGACAGCCCTGTTCTGTATTGTCCAGTTTTAAGAAGTTCTGAAGGACTGGACCCAGACCAAACTGTGTGGTTGGGCTTCACAGCTGGCAGATAAATGGTATATTTACAGGAGTTGCTGCTGAGTTGATGGAGGACGGAGCAGAAACAACACAAACGGTAGTTTTTATATAAATCAGATAAGACACGGCCAGTAATCATGTGTGTGTGCCAATCTTCTTTTCTTACCACATGGCTGCACTCGCTGATTACCTGATTTGACTGTTTCAACCTTTCTGTTTGCCAATGGCTTTTACACACACACACACACACACACACACACACACACACACACACACACA